ACACGTGGGTAAGGGGGTGGGGGCTGGGCCACGAGTGAGCAGCAGGAACCCGCAGCCCAGAACCACAGAGAGGGCATCCCCCCAGGTGAGGCCCCCAAGCATCCTCCCCTGGGGCCAGCAGTCTTGAGATCTGTACTGGAAATGCCAAGGACACCGACGAGAGAGAGAATGCGTGCTCCTTCCCAGGGAGGCACTGATGACATCTCTGGGGACAGGGGTGGGAGGCCATCAGCACAGACCTCGGGGACTGGGCCGCCCCGGGCTTCTTGCTAGACAGCAGGCACTGCAGCTAGGCCAGCCCTGAGCACATGGCAGGGCACGGCCAGCAATTTTCAAAAATCACTAGGCATGGTGGCGTGCACCAGCACTCGGCAGGGAGGCTGAAGCAGGAGGACGGCCATGAGTTCAAGGCCAGCCTGGACACAGCGAGTCTGTCTCAAAACAAAACAAAACAAAGTCTCCTAGTTGCACTACGCTACCACACTGGCATGGCTTCCTCTCCACCTCAGTGCCCAACATATGCCAATAAAATCTATACGAACCAACACTCAGCTGCTCAGCTTCACTGTCTGTTTCAGAGGTGTCGGAGCCGCGGGAGGGAAGAGGCTGTGGTGCTGAGGGCACAGCAGCCCCGTGCACTCGTCAGGCCCCTCCTGGTCTCAGCGCACCGTGCACGCACCGCGTGTGGCCTGCTTCACCTCTGATGCCCCACAGACCAGAGCGTCAGAGCCTGCCCTCCGAGGGTTAGAAGGCCGGAACCCTTGGGGTGAGGCTGGGTCAGTCTGCGCCTGCTCTACCACGTAGATGTCTTTCCTTTTCTGAGCTGTAAAGAACACCACGATGAACATCTTCCTGGGGCTTTGGTTTTGTTTCTTTCTGTGATTTGGGTCCCTTCTTAACACAAGCTCCAGAAGGAGCATCTGGACTTCGAGAGGAGACATTTCACACCTGCTGCTCACCCAGCACGTCCCTGGGCAGGGACACAGACGAAGGGTGTGGCGACCCTCTTCGTGCTGGCCCGTGGCCGCGGCTGCTGACCCTCGGTAAGGCAGCGCTGTGCACACAGAGGCCAGGCCCAGGAGGGGTCCATGCGGCCAGTTCACACGGCTGCCTGGTGGGCTCTGAACTCCGGTCTCAGATTTCCTGCCAGTCACAGGCTGGGGCTCGGGGAGGTAACCCACGAATGTGGAGCCCCCAGGGGACACGACCACATTTTTAACCACTCAGCCCTCCTGGAACTCCCTGCCAAGTAAGAAGCGTGGGGGCCTTCCCGTCCCTGGGGCCGGGCCCCCCACCCGTCGTCCCCAGCCATTCTGCCTGCACCGGTAGTTCTTCCATTTTGCCACTAGAGGGGGCCTGCGAGTCGACCTACGTGCCCTGCCCTGCTGCCCTGGGCGGGGCCGTGGAGTCCAGGTAATTGAGGGGGGGAGCTCCCAGGGAGGAGCAGGGTCCTCAGGGCCAGTGCCCGGCCCTGCTGATCTCAGCTTTACGAACCTCCCTGCTCAGCCTTTCACAGGTTTCTCAAGTCAGCTGCAGGCTTTAAACCAGTGACGGGAAGCGTGTAGACCGAGCGCCCAAACCCATGTATTTATTGCAAAGTGCCAACACCGCCCTGTTATCCAAGGCTAGGGTGACGTGGCTCGCGAGCCAACAGAGAGGGCTCTGCGCCCCGCTGAGGTTCGCGTGCCACAGGTTTCTGCCACCCCTGCCCTACACCCTGGGGAGCAGAGCCTGCTCTGGCTGCACTCCAGAGGAGACGCTGGGGCCGAGGTCTGGGTGTGGCCGGGGAAGCAGTTGTCAAAGCTGCCTGTGTGTCCAGAACAATCAGCCCATTAGAGATGGGTTTCCAGCGCCACCAAGCGCCTGGTGTGGCAGAGGGGTGGGAGCCCAGGCAGCACTGGGAACAGGAGGTCAAACAAGTGAAAACAGATTCCAGGACCCAACCCCTTCTGAAGCCACGTCCGCCACCTCACTCCCCAGTGCTGGGTGGAACCCAGGGCCTCACAGCATCTGCGTGGTAAAATAAAAGTGCTCAGCTGCCTGTCACGCAAGATGGGTTTGTCCCCACCGGACACATGTCACTTCTGATGGGAAGACAGGCTCGCTCTACCCGTGGACAGGAGGGGTCCCCATCGTGGTTGTCTTAAAACTAACACATTTTTTAAAGTTCTGGGGATGCAGCCTGGTGCAAAGTAACCTCCACAACTGCAAACACAAACCCCAAAAACCGTACCCGGCCCCTCCCTGGGTTCTGGCTCCAGGTTCCCTTGTGGTCTTTCCCTTCTGCCTGGCTCCCCCAGATGCCCTCTGCCAGAGACTGAAATTATGGGGCCACCCAACCTTGGAGTTTTCGCTTTTTAATGCTGTAAGCTGAACAAACCTGTTTTATTTATAAGTCTCAGCCTCAGGTATTCCATTAGAGTCACAGAAAATGCACTAATGCACCCGCCGTGTCCAGGGAACCTCCACCACACTACACTGGCACGGGCGTAAGGGACAGTGGTATGAACTCCTTGGTGGTCCTGAGGTGGAGAGCACAAAGGACAAACAGCAGCCACGAAGCCGAGTGCTTCCTACGCCCTCGTGTGAGCAGGAACGGGAGGACGTGGCCACCGCCCAGCTCCTGGGCCAGGCGTGCAGACCACATGGCCCAGCCTGGCATGAGACCTCACACCCATGGTACTCTGGGCCGTGCCTCACATCATGGGACAGCTGAGTGCTGGACACACGAGACCACGCACCCGAGTGGGGAAGCCAGGGCTGAAGGCAGACCCGCCGGGTGCTGAAGTTCACACAGCCGTGGCCAGGTGAGCAGCCTGGCACCAGGGCCGGGATGCAGTGTGAGGAGAGTGTGGGGCAGGGAAAGAGCACCCTCCTGGGTCAGGGGGACGCAGAGGCTCCCAAGAGTCCAGGCACAAGGCCACAGAGCTGAGTCTCATACTCTAGTTGGCTGGTTAGGATGGGGAGGGGAAGTCCGGGCGGAGGGGATCCATGGCAAAGGCCATGGCAGAGACAGCACCAGGTCCAAGGCAAGGCCAGAGCCAAAGGCTTGAGCACTGGGGCAGCTGGGAAGGAGGCCGCTCCTCAGCTACCAGAGCTGCCTGCAGCAGTTGCAGCCTCCAACCAGGATGCCGACAACACCCATCGGCTGGGACAATCCCATCTCCTGGTGCAGCGTGTGTCCCCTGGGGACCACATGAGCCCCAAGTGAGATGTGCTCTGGAAACATCTGGATACAGGGGGGCAGCAGGGCTGGAGATTCCATGAGGCGAGCCAGGGGCAGCCAGGGTGGGGCCACCCATGGAGGATGCCGCTCCCCAAGAGGACCCTGTAAAGCGGTTATCACCACCCCAGCTTACCGCAGGGAAACAGGCCCCAGGAAGAGAAGGAAGTTTCCCAGGTTCGTGTCAGCCAAGGGTACCAGGACTCAGCGCGCAGCTCCCGAATGCCCAGATCGGAGACCCTGATGGTACGGGGCTGCTGGGCAGAAAGCTGAACAAGCTAGGCTCAGCTCTGGTTCTGCCACCCCATCCTCAACGCAACCCCGGGACCAGAGCAGACCCAGCTAACACCTGGGAAGGGGATGAGCAGGGCACCGACCCCTGTCACTCAGTCTGGGCCCTGGGAGGTCAGGACTCCGAAGGGACACCTGCACTACCAGACTGGCACCACCAGGAGGAGCTCTAATGGAGCCTGGCCGGACTGCAGAGGGCCACAAGGGTTGTCCCCACCCAGGTTCCTGGCCTGGAACACCGCAGGGCGCAGCCACCCTCAGGGATAAGTGAAGTTCCGCATGGCTGACTGAGTCCTTCATCTGTGCTCTCAAGTATCGGAGACTAGTGATACTGGTTCACCCTGGGCCTTGACGGACCACATCTTACTGAGGGGATAAAATCAGGAAAGAATCCATCTCAAATTGCTTCCGGCCAGAACCAGGAAAGCGTGCATGTCCCTCGCCCTGTCTGCTGCCTGGCTTCTGTCGATCCAACTGGAAACTTAGGCTCCAGCCCTGGCTGGTGGGGACCCAGCTGGGTCCAAATCTTGGCTTGGCCTGAGCCTGGATGGTGACCTCCAGCAAATCACTAACCTCTTCCAGTCTACCCGTTTCCTCTCCATACAAATCCATAACCTACCAGAGATGCCCGGCGCCCAGTGCACGCCCGGCGCCCAGTGCACACCCAGCACACAGCTTACCGGTGAGTTCACATATGAACCGATGTCTGTCCCTACCACCATTTTTGCTAAAGCAAATGAGCACAGGACACACCCTGAGCCTGGGAGGTGAGGACAGCTGTGCCCATAGTGGGGTCCCGGGGTGCCCTGGGTTGGCGCTCCCACCCCCGCAGGAGCCTGGGACATGCCACCTCTGAGAGCCCTGGAGTCGCCGGGTGGTAGATGCAGTGAACACAGTCCCCACCCGGTGGTTTTCTTGGGCTCCAAGGCCCAGCAAAGCCACTGCAAGGTGCAGAGGAACTCCTGCCCTCAAGGGCAACCTGCGCCATCATCAAGTCTACAGTCAAGCAGCCCATGCACCGCAGTGCCCCATGGTGCGTGCAGGAGGGCTGCCACGCTGGGTGACTGCTGCCCACTTGCCCCCTGCACAGCCGGAAGATTCCACAGGTCCCACGGACGGTCGCCCAGCTGGTGGGTGGCAGAACTGAGCACAGGGCTGGGTACCAAGCACTGTGGCAAACTGACCTCCAGCCAGCACCATAAGTCTCACAGGGCCACCAGGCGTCCCAGGCCCTTGCCAGAGGGAGAACCGACACTCCTGTCTTCCCACAAGGACGGAAAGGCCCAAGGGCCGGGTAGGCCAGGCAGAGCTATTCAGCCCCGGGCTAAGCTTCAGGGGAGGAGAGAGAAATCCAGAGCCTGATGGGCGTCCTGTCCGACCCTGGCCCTCACCTGGGGGCCGGGGCACCCGCGGGCACAGCAGGACCAGGTGGGCAGGGGAGCGCTGCAGTGCTGGGCAGCACTGAGGCCTCCACCCGGGAACTCACCTGCCCTCGCTCTCCAGGAACGCCTGGCTGCTGCCCTCGGCCAGGGCCACGCTGATGGGTGACAGGCAGAAGGGCGAAGAGAAGGCATCAGAGTCGGAGTCGAAGGAGCTGTCCCTGCTGACGCCATCAGCCGACAGCTCCAGGGAACCGTCCTCCTCCCCAGCCTCCGGCCGAGGCACCCGGCCCTCCTCGGTCCCGTCCTGAGAACTGACTGCAGACAGGATCCCCGAGTCGCTGTGGGCAGGCTGCGAGGCGGGCAGGGGACTGTCCACCCCAGGGCCCAGGGCCAGCTGCTGCCCATCCTCGGGTGAAGGGCTGATGTGTACGGCATCCTGGATGCTCTGGGCCACCGCCAGGGTGTCCTCATCTTTGGGGGTCAGGGGGGGCCTCGGCTCCCCGGGGAAGGCCTGGTGGGGGACCCCGGTGCTCAGGGTGCGGCGGTGCCGAGGGCGCGGGGCCTTGCGCACGGGGGAGCTCTCGGGGGTGATGTAGCGCAGGGCCTCCTCGTCCTGCCTCTGGATGCGGGCGTTGGGGACCCAGGCCAGGATCAGGGTGGTGCCCAGCAGTTCATCCTTCTCCATGTACAAGCACAGGTACCCTGCGAGAGTGGCAGCCAGGTCAGACTCTGTTCCCATGGGGCCATGCCTGGCACAGCACACACCGGATGTGAGGCAGAACGGCCTTGAGCTAAATGGGCCTGGCCGAGTCCAGCACAGCTGGACACTGTCCAGGCACAGCTCCACAGTGGCTCTGGGGTGGAGCCCTGCGCTCCTCGGCTCAGGTTCCTGGCCTGCCTGGCATGTGGCCTTCATGTCTGTGCGAGCCCAGGCCAGCAGGGAAGCCCGGAAGCCTCTGGAAAACAGCGTCCCACAAGGAGGGATGCACAGGCTGTACACCTGATCTGACAAGAGTGAGTCCAAGAGGGGTGCTGCTCGGCTTTGCAGGCAGCCAGGGCATCCTGGCCTTGCCTTTCTTAAGTGCAGCGTTTTGGAGGCAGGGGCTGGATCCCGGAGCTGGCGTGAGCCCTGGTGTCACACACACTGCTGACTGGGATGGAGAAGAACAGTTCTCCATCCAGCAGTGAGGGGCTGGGCGCTTGGTTTTCGGGGAAAAGAGGCATTTCCAGAGGCAGCCCCTAGGGGCTTCAAGGTGTCTGGATCCCTGGGCTGTGGTGCCCCACTCCGGGCCTCCTCACCCCTGTGTGAGCCCCACCAGCAGGAGCCTGCACTCTCAGCCACACCTCTTGGGGCTCTGGCTCCAGCCAGCATCTCCTGGGCCCCACTCCGGCTTCCCTGAGAGGACGAGGAACGCGGGGAGGTCAGCCAGCAAGTGTAAGAGTCCGGGGGAGGTGGGGCTGCGATTCCCGCACCCATCTGCTGTGTCCGACTGACCATCCAGCAGATCCCAGCATGGATGCCCCATGGGGATCCCTGGGCAGCTGCTATTCTTTGTTTCATGCCCAGAGTGATGCCCTCACGTCCCAAACTCACAGCCGATCATGCCTGCCCCTCGTCTCTCCATGAGGTGAGACCGTACAGGGTCAGGAGGCTGCTACAGCGCCCACCAGGGGCCTGGGACACTGGTCCCCAGCTCCCAGGGTGGGTGCCTGGACCCAGGGCAGCTACAGGCCGCAGGAGAAGAGGGACAGACGCTGAGCATCCCAGAGCTGCCTGGCCTCTCTAAGCACCTGTGTCCTGACCTGCCGGAGGTGTGCTGGGCTCCAGTGAGCCAGACCTGACAGCACAGACCCGTTCTGGGGGACAGCTTCTCATCTTGGAGAAAGAAACAAACCCTGTCTCCTTTTTTATGTGCTAGGGCTTGTGCCTTTTAGCGCTTGGGTTCAGAGCACAGCCTGGCCCTGTCAAACAGAAAAAGAGAAGACCGCATCCTCCTCTGTGGCTCTGCTAGACCTGACAAAGGCAGGGAAAAAGTGTGCCTCCCCCGGGAGTGGGAGAGTGTGTCCCAAACGGCTGCGGTGAAAGGGAGTCTGGAAAGTTCCTCCCATCACCTCCACCTGGCAAAGCTAGAGGAGAATTTTGGTTCCCAATTCACACGGCTGGGTGGAAGAAGAGCAGGACTTGTCGTTTCCAGAGAATTCCTGCCTGACCTGCATCCCATGCCTGGGCCTTGGACCTCAGGGTCTCCCCTCCCTCGTTCTGTACCCGCAGGGGCTCCCCCCAGGCCGGAACTCTGGGGTCTCCCCTCCTCGGCTCACCTGGGTGATGCTCCCCCAGGCCCTGCAGCCCCTCAGGCGGGTGCACACAGACATTGTTCTTGGAATAGATGATCTCTCCCTCCAGGACAGAGGGGGACCCACCGCCACCACTGGGGGTGAGGGTCAGGAGGTCCGAGGCTTTGGAGGAGGCGCGGCGGAGGAGGCGGCCCAGAGACATCGCCGGGTGCGTGTTTCCATCCTCTGCACTGTGTGGCCCAGGCAGGGCTCGTCACGACCACCTGGGGGAGGATGGAGGCACACATAGGTGACAAGGTCGTGCACAGGCACCAAGTGTCCCCAGGGCTGCACTCCACCTTGCGCCAGCAGACACCCCAGGGGCGCCGGCTGACCACAGAACTGCATTCCAGGCTCAGTCCACCATACGGCACTGGTAACTCCCTGATGTAACTGAAGATGTCTCCAGACACTGCCAAATGTCCTCTGGGAACAAAGTCCTCGCCTCTGAGAACCTCTAGGCTGGAGTGACCCTGTTCCCAAGTAGCAGTCTCATCAATCCGCCAAGATTCCTCTTCCTGGCTCTCAATGGGACCGAGGCCAACACCATTCCTTCCAGGACTCACACCCTCCTCCCCATCCGGAGTCTTCCCTAGCAGCCTGATGCCCACAGTGCCACAAATATTTGAAGAACTATACATAAAAAAAAAAAAAAAAAAAA